CCCATGCCAGGACCACCTCCTCTTGGACCACCACCTGCTCCACCTTTGAGGCCACCTGGACCACCTACAGGCCTTCCTCCTGGACCACCACCAGGTAATGTGAAAATGTCTTGGAATTTGAATTTAAAATTTCATTTACTCAAGTCAAATGAAAGTAGAGAAGTGAAGTCCTTCTCAGAAATGGCATATAGTCATCCCTGGAAGATACAGCAGGTTCAGTTCCATACCACCAGAATAAAAGCAAGTTGCATGCATTTTTTAGTTTCTCACTGTATGAGTTCTATAGTCATTCTGTAGTCATGTCACTGATTAATAGCATTATTAGAATGCTACTTCATTTCTTAAAAATTTGAAATAATTGTGAGAATTATTAAAAAATGTTAGCAGACATGAAATGAGCACATGCTATTAGAAAAGTGATGTTAGCCAGCTTGCTTAATGCAGAATTTCCACAAGCCTTCAATTTGTAAGAAATGTAGTATATACAAAGTGCAGTAAAACTAGGTATGCCTACACATACTGATTTTGTTGTTCCCAAATTTTTTTGTTATTGTTTGAATACTTTAAGAAAGGTAAAAATTTTCAAAGGATAAATGCAATTTATTTACTCCTATGCCATTTGTTGGCAATTCATAGTCCTTCTAAGAGCCTCCTGTCTCTTGTTATTTATACCTTCTTAAAGACTCTTGCCTTCTGATTATAGCAGGCAGAAACTCAAGTGTGTAGCAGGCTCATTAGCACTACTCTACGTGATACGTTGACCCAGTTCTCAATTGATACTGGGTGCAAATAGAGAACAGTATCTCATGTTCATCTTAAGTAAGGACCATTTGGATCTCTATAGTTAGAAAAACAGTGATCAGTAATTTATCACATCTTCTGCTTAAAAGTTTTATAAAGCTTATTCACAATTCAAAACAGAGAACCTTTGGGGCTGCTTATTATTTTGGTCCTTCACCCCACAGTCTGTTGAGTTCATCCTTTTCCTCAGTGCAGTGCAACATTACTTAGCTTTGCTCTCATTTTTCATTGTCCTTATTTATCTATCTCTTCATTTAATGAGTCTCAGGGTGTCCTTAAAGCACTTTTGTTTTCCATTTATAGAAACAATATAGAACTATTTGAGAATTTTTCTCATCTTTCTGCTTTATAACCAAGCAGAGATATGATCAAATAAATTTTTTCTCAGTGCTAGAGAATTGGTGGAATGATGCATAACAAATTCCACATCCTATCTCTGGTGCTGGTGTTTACTGTCTGGATTCTATTTCCACATGTTAACAGTTTTTTAAGTTGCCTTGATTTCAGCTTCAAGTGATAAAGCCATGTGTGAATTACTTTTATACCGCTATTATTATATATTTGTTTTTTATGTTTCTCTTGTTAGGAGCGCCTCCATTCCTAAGACCACCTGGAATGCCAGGGCTCCGTGGGCCATTACCTCGACTATTACCTCCAGGACCACCCCCAGGCCGACCTCCGGGCCCACCTCCCGGCCCACCTCCTGGTCTGCCTCCTGGACCACCTCCTCGGGGACCTCCACCACGGCTACCTCCCCCTGCACCTCCAGGTAAACTTAACAATTTCCAGGGCAGAGACTCAAGTCTACTGTATATTTCATCTGCTTTAAGGCATATTTACACATTTAAATATCATGAAATAAAGAGGCAGTTTGCAGTCTGGTGGGATTTGGTGTGTGTGTGTGTGTGTGTACACACCATCAAATTGGATCTGATCTGACTGGTACAGGAGGAGATTGTAGAGCATCTGGTGGATTTGAACTGCTCATCTCTGGGTGCATTGCAGTGCAACTTCTTGCCACTAGGCCACCAGAGCTCGCCCTGTTTTGTTTTTAAAATTGTGATTTGAGTGAAAGTTTATAAAATAAATTGACTTTATTACAGAACCCACATTTCCCCGCTTCCCTGTAATTTTCATTTCCCTTAATAATCTCCTAGGGAGCTCTGGTGGCCTATTAAGAGCTACACTGCCATCCCAAGTGCATGTGTTCAGATCCACTAGCTGTTCCATGGTAGAAAGATAAACGGTCTCCTCCTATGCTATTTACAACCTCTGAAAAACCCCACTGGAGGGTTAGTTGTGGGTTGTAACAATAGCCCCTTCCTGTCTTCAGAGCTTTTTTCCTAGGCAGGTTCTTTTGGCCTTATAAGGTTGAAGAGAGTGCTAACCTGGTATTATTAGCTAACTTAACGGGCATGTCTGAAAATTGAGCCACAGTGATAAATTTTGTTGAAGGTACAAAGAGTGACTAAGAGACATAGTCTTGAGGTTGCACCCATCTCTTTTTGGACCAATAAACCTAGCTTTTTTTGTTTTTTAATTTTGTTCCACATTTTCCCACACACTATCCAAACTGGCACAGCCTAGGGCAAGGTCTTACTCTTTGTTTATAAGGTCACTGTGAGTCCTAATGGTCTTGATAATACCCGCCAACAAGGTGTCCAGGATCTTCTGTTGTGACCCTTCCCGAGTAGTTAGAGGAAACCAAACACCATCGGGTTCTCCCAGACAGAATTTTTGCTTTTCATTCTGCCTGTAATTTAGGTAACAATTGTTGCTAGAACCACTTTGGATTAAAAAATTTTCTAGAACTACATTTATTGTTATTAATATGTCCAATGTCTACATAAGAACCATCTTAAAGTGTATAATCACAAGGAAGATTTTATTTCCCTCTCAGCTTCCTACTGCGAAGATCGTACATGCAAGTTTTCCTGGGGTCTTTTTGTATACGGCAAATATATTTTTAGTTCACTGAATAATCTTTGAGTGGTAGTGCTGGAGAAATAGTATTGAACATTCCATGGACTGCCAAGAGAACAAACAGGTCTGACCTGGAGAGGGTGAAACCAAGGTGTTCCTTGGAAACAGATTTTGAAACTCAATCTCGCATACTTTGGGCATATTGTTAGAGGAGCCAGTTCCTAAAGGAGGACATTATGCTGGTCATTAGCTAGTCAGTGAAAGAAAGAAAAACCCTGGATGAGATCAGGTGTGTCAGAGACAGTGAAAAGCTGGCACAGGATAGGGCAAGGTTCCATGATATTGTTCATAGGGTTGCTATGAGTTGTGGTCAGCTTAACTGCACATGACGACGACAACAATAAGAAAATCTTCAAATCCCCCAATAGGACCTTTCATTAATGTTATGTAGATTATAGAATGTAGTATATATGTATTACTGTAATTGTTGGTATTGTTAAGTGCCATTGAGTCGTAGACTACTTATAGCGACCCTATGAACAAAAGACCTGAACACTTGTGTAACTTTCATTATTTCTCCAAGTTCATAGTTTCCAGAGGCAAGCTATGAAAGTTATATTATAATTTAGTCTCTTAAATTTTATTAAGTGTGCACTTTATATTAAAAGTAGCCATTTGGATAAACTTTTCTTGGTGTAATGGTGAATGGTATATCTTAGTTGTCAGTAAAAGATGCATTCTTTTCTCATGATAGACTGTGATTAGTTCCATTTATTTATTTTTTGCTATAACATGTGCATTCAATGGCTGGTAAGGGTTTGGATTATTTTCTCTGCCTACTGAATACAAAGATTCTCATGATTGGGCCAATTAGTAGCATCAGGGTGGATGGTGAAGAGATTGATATTGTTAACAGCTTTAGTTTGCTTGACTCCACAGTCAACACGCTTGGCACCAGCAGCCAGATAATTAAAAGACATATTGCGATGCAAAAGTCAGCTGTCAGGGACCTCTCCAAAGTGTTGAAGAGTAATGGTGTCACTCTGGAGACTAAGGTGCACCTGATACAGGCCATGGTCTTTGCAGTCACTTGCTATGCATCAGAGAGTTAGGCAATGACTGGGGAGGGTAGAGGATAGAAGCCTTTGAGCTTGGTGCTGGAGAAGAATGTTGAATATACCATGGACTGCTAAGAAAATAAACAGGTTCTTCTTGGGGAGGGTTAAATCGGGTTGCTCCTTGGAGGCAAAGACTGAAGCTTCCTCTGACATACTTCGGAAATGTTATAAGGAGGGACCAGTCCTTGGAGAGGGACAGCACAGGAGAGGAAGACTCTCTGAGGTGAACTGACTCTGACTGGGGTAGTGGGGGTAGGTGTGTCAGAGACCGTGAGATTGGCATAGGATAGAGCGGGGTCTATTGTAGGATTGCTATGAGTCGCAGGTGTCTCGATGGCACATCACAACAACAGCAACAGTGAATACTTGGGAGAGAAAAGAGGGAGTGAGAGTAGAAAGATGATATAGAAATAAAGATGTAATACATAGGGATCAACTTACTGATTTACTTTTAAAGATGTATAAGATAGAATTGATAGATGATTAAAGTAATACTTGAAGCTAATTGGGTTGTTTTTTGTTTCTGTTTTTAATTTAATTTGTTTAGAATATTCCATTCTTTAGGGATGAATAATAAAATAGATGGTGGCTGTGATACTCAAAGGCTACCAACTGCCATTAAGTTGATTAACTGTTTGCACCACCGAGGACTCCATCCTTCATAGTTAAATTTTATTCAGTTGTTGTTTTGGGTTCCCCCCCCCCCAAGTTATTCACTCTGTTTTCTTTTCTAATTAGGTATCCCTCCACCCCGTCCTGGCATGATGCGCCCGCCTTTGGTGCCTCCACTTGGACCTGCCCCACCTGGGCTTTTCCCACCAGCTCCCTTGCCAAACCCTGGAGTTTTAAGCGCCCCACCCAACTTGATTCAGCGACCCAAGGCGGATGACACAAGCGCAGCCACCATTGAGAAGAAGGCAACCGCAACCATC